TTCACGTTTTTATGTTTCGATCTATTGTTGTCGATTGAATCGACACCAGTTCTTTAAAAAAATTTTGATCGATTCACGTTTTTTATTTTTTCACGTTGATCCGAATCCATACCTTCCACTCTGACCCAGCCTGCAACGTGGAATGTGCCACCACCCACCACCCACCACCCACCCCCACCCTCTTCCCCTCCCACCAGGCGTTACGTTTTTTTATAAACGGCTGCTTGGGTATACCTTTCTGCTTTGGTGTTTTAATACAAATAACTAGGCAGTCTACAACACACTACCATTCTATTGCAAACAAAATTTATTGCGTAATGGCCTCTGGATGGAGCACCGATGCACTCATCGCTCAGCGTAATTACATCCCGAGATCGACCCAATAATCCAACGGGATCCATCCGTCACCCATCCGGCAACCTGAAATGAGGGGTTAGGTGCGCGCTGAGACATTACGTCGTCCCCCGGACAAAAGACCGTATCTCGATTTCCACATGAGCCCTGTTCTTCGTATAACGCTATGTTTTCCAGGGCTCATGTGGGAATCGAGATACGCCTTTTCGTCGGAGGAACGACGATTATCGAGCACTTACACACTCCCGGGCTCGACGATGCATATTAGCCCTGTCGTTTTTGTTAAAACAACAACCCAGAATCTGATTGTTTATTGTCTTTGCAAAGGGGGTTCAACGCGACGGCGACGACGCAACGCTGCGCCAGGCAATCAAATTTGAATTAGGAACAATCGCGCGTAACGTGAGCGAATAAAGGACGTAACTTGGTCGGCGCACAGTGGATCGAGTCAATCTGAGAGGTCGGAAATGACATTTCTGTCTAAAGCTGAAAATTTTGATGTTAATTTTGTTAAATTTTAAATTTTAAGGGGTGCTTCTTGAAGAAAATTTTACGAGAAAACCAATGGAACCCCTCTTAGAACATCAAATTTTTGTATAAACGGAGTTATAAGCGTTTAAAGTTTCCAAATTTTGTCCGACCTCTCCTATTGACTCGATCCAGTGTGCGGCGGTGGTGGGTGGGGTGCCAGGGGCGAGGGGAGGGTGCTTGAGGGCTCTGCTCTTTTCACTTCGACTCGACTCGATTGTCTTACTTATGGCGGTTGTGGCGTAAGGGATAAGGGTAACGTCGAACCCAACTTCTGGAAAGATTGATGATCCCAACGGCATTATCCAGTTTTTTTTTCCTCTCGAGTTTCTTTCATTTTCATTTATTTTAAAAATGCAATTTACTTTATCACAGTGCCTAAAACATGAAAGTTTCAGCAGGCCAATTGATGAAATTTTGTATTCGTTGATTGGACATAGATGACATAAGTTAAATAGTGTAGTGTGTTTGGTCGGCTGTGTCTTATCGCTGCTTGTCGTACCTAAATCGGGTAGAATTGACGACCAGCTTAAGGCACCTCTTGAGCTCCCACAATCATAGTATGTCGTCAATTTCACCAGACATAGGCACGGCAAAGCAGCGATAAGACATAAACGACCGATCACGCTGCGCCATTTAACCCATGTTATCTATATCCACCAGAAAAAAACAATACTTAAAAATTAAACCGTTTATGTTTTCAGTAAAGAAACAAACCAAGTTTTGATTTTTAAAGAGAGATGACTCAAATTAACAATTTTACGAAACTGTTACCGAGTTGCTTTTTCTTCTATTAAATGCGATCCTAGTATTCTAACTAGGTTTGAACCTAAGTTTCCCTTTATTAAAATATTAATGAAGCAGATACTTTTGAAAAAGCCGATAAAGTATTTTAGGCTAAGTCCGTCATCTTGAACCTAGGAATTTTTAAAACTCTAAAAAAAAATATTCGAGTTTCTGGCGGAAAATACCTTCTGGTAGCGAGTTTCAAAAAATCGATCGCACAGGAGTCGAGATAGCATTAAAGACCATCTCTGCCCTATCAGATTTTGGAATTTTAACAATTTGACTAAAAATTCGAGCTTCCCGTCAAAGAATACCACCAGCTGTCGAAATTCACAAAAATAAATCGCTACGTGGTCACGTGCCATTCGTTGACTTGTCCTAACCTGGCGTTAAAGTCTCCGGTCATCGTAACAATCCGGTAGTTCCGATATAGAAAACTGAAACGCCTTCATTTCCGTGAATATGCAATGCGGACATCCATTGAGCACGGATAGTTGTATCCAGACGTTATTCGGTCGTGTATAGTCCGTTGACATTTTTCTAACTTGGCTTTGAAGTTTCTGCTCCAGTTTTTTACACATTTGAGTATTTTCTAGTGCGAGTACTGTACAAAACGCCTCTGAAATCAATCTGTCAAATGTTTATGATCGAATATTGATATTTCCCCATTTTGAGCTATGATAAAGAATCGATTATTGAGGTGTTCATTTCAAACACCCTGTTTATCGATCATTTTCAGTGAGATAAAATGGCAGATAGGATTTATCGTAAAGTATGCCACGCCACTGCCGCACAGTGGATCAAGTCAATTAGAGACGCCCGACAAGAAATTTTTGAATGATTCTTCAAATTTTGATTTTTATTTCGTCACATTTTAAATTTTGAGGGGTGCTTGTAGCAGAGAATTTCACGAGGAAATCAATGGAACCACTTTTAGAACCTCAAAATTTTGTGTGAACGGAGTTACAAGCGATTAAAGTTCCGAATTTTGTCCGACCTTTCCTATTGACTCGATCCACTGTGTACAATAAACCAACAAGACTTGGGCCCCGAAACCTTTGAAAAGGTAGAGAGCACTTGACTTGGGGGAGAGCGATAAAACTGTGCTATCAAGGTCGGGTGGATTCCCTTTGCAGACCTATTTCACCAACTCACAAAGCTGCGATATTCTGTTTCCAAGCCCTTTGTTGGGTATTGAATAATAGACGACAATGTCCTTTTTCGGGCTAATTATTTGGGCAGGAGCCTCTGTTGGGCAACGTCTCTCGGTGCTTACATGATTGATACCAAATTGGATTCTCGTGATACGCGCGTGGATTCTGCGCCTCTATTTACGCTTCCAGCGCAGAGTTCGCTATTCGCCAATCCGTCCTCTAATTAGACTTCATTAATGATTGACCTGATAACATTTTCAGAGAAATGGTGCGACGGATCGCACGGACCGGGACAAGACTCGGCTGCAGCACGCCGTTGCCATGACGACTAGAAATTTTCCCCTTTGAAAATATCTCGTGGGCCGCTATACTTTAAAAGAACACACCCGCCATGAAGGACAAAATAAAGTATGAATTCCCATGACAAGGCACGAAAATTTATCTTATTTCTTTTATTTGTATGATTTCTCAGATATTTCCATGTTTATTTCTCTTCGTCTTCTTTATTTTATTCATCTCCATCATCTTCATCCTATTCTTCCGCTTCCTGTTTTTATCCGCCCTTTCCTTTCTTGTATCTTCCTCCTCTTTTTCCTTTAGCCTCTTGTTCTTCAGTGCAAAAAATGCTCAATCGCGCGCCTACCCGGGGTGTTTAAACATGTGGGAAGGTCTTTAAAAATGTGAGATGGTTTTTAAAAGAGTGAAGGGAGGGACAATTTTTAAGCGTCAAAAGTTTAAAATCAAAGGGAACTAAGAGGAAAAGGTCTTCACTTATGAAATTGGAAGGAAACTTTGTGGAAAGTCTATAAAAAATATGGAAAGCCGGCAATCGGGCGCATGAAAATGAGAAAATTTTAAAGGTCCTGCAACCATGCTTGTTCTTATTCTTCCTCATTTTAGCCATTTCCTCCTCTTTTTCTTCGTTTTCTCCCCCTTCCCCTTCCTATTTTCCTTATTTTCTTCATTATCATTTTCATCCAAACAACGGCTATACGTCTCGTCGCGCATCGTCTCGATTAAAAGTTCACATAATATCATCTTTTTTATAGTTTTTCCCAGCGGACAGTCATATCGATGAAAACATCTCATTCAAACTTCAAGACTCAATGATTCAATGGCTCAATTTTCAGTGGCGTGGCGCTCATGTAAACAACGGAAGCGCTGGTCTCTGTAACTATTTCAATGGGTAATTGAGAGGTAATCAATATTCTTCGTTCTAATGATTTGAAAGGTAAGGAAAATGAAGGAGTTGATTGTCATTTTTGGAAAGATTGAATGAGATGTTTTTATCGATATGACTGTCCACTGGGAAAAACTATAAAAAAGATGATATTATGTGAACTTTTAACCGAGACGATGCGCGACGAGACGTATAGCCGTTGCTTGGATGAAAGTGTCTCGATGCAACTTTTCGAGCTTAAAGGATGTCCGTGTTGCGTGAAAAACATTGAAGGCGCTCTGCTTTTCCCAATCACAACACCTGGATGTCACTCTTTGTGCATGCTTATAGGATATCCATGCTGCATACAAAAATTTTTGGGCTCTTTGTTTTTCCAAATCACAGGGGAGGAAGAGGAAGATAAGAAGAAATGCGAAGAAGGAGGAAACAGGGATAGAGAAAGAGAACGAGAAGGAGAAGAAGACGACAAATAAAGGAAAAGGAAGAGAAGAAGAAGAAGAAAACGAAGAAAAAAGAAGGAAGAAAAAGAGAAGAAGGAAACGAAGAAAGAAAAAGGAAGAAAAGAAGAAAGCAAAATAAAAAGGAAGAGAAGGAGAAGAAGAAAACGAAGAAAAAAGAAGGAAGAGAAGGAGAAGAAGGGAACGAAGAAAGAAAAAGGAAGAGAAGAAGAGGAAGAAAACGGAAAAAGGAACAGGAGAAGAAGAAAATGAAGAAAGAAAAAGGAAGAGAGGAAGAAAACGAAAGAAAAATGAAGAGAAGGAGAAGAAAGGTAACTCGGACAGATCCAAGCGCTCGGTACTTGCGGGCGCATATTTCTCCTGGCGGCATCGCATGCGATTCAGATCTGATATGGCATGTCGGTGTTGGCCAGATCAAAAGACAATAGGTGAAAATGTCCAGGAGCCGGGGCCGGGGGGTGGCCAGGACGGGGGAGGTGTAGCTCTGTGCCACGGTCAAGGCGATCCCGGTGAAAGGGAACCTGCGTTCATAGTTCACCTTATATAAGGCCCAGATAGGCAAAGGCGCTCAACTTAACGCGTGCTTCTAGCCCCCTCGTACACAGTTACCAATTGCACTTCCTCAGGACCTCGCGGCAGAAACTATGGCTGCCAAGGTAGGTTTTCAAACCACAACTCCTGCGTGATGTGTTAATTCCCTTAATTTACGTGTTTACAATTAGAAAATTTCTCATGTGATAAGGCGTATGACGTCAGTTAGTGGGTGTGAAAATTTCGGTTACTTTTACGTTGCGTGGAAAGTGAAGTGTGTGTTAAGTGTGCGCGGTGGACTTTCTCCTCTTATCGAGCATCATCTGGATATCTTAATATGTTGAGGAAAATTTTATTTCCAAACGGTCAGGCGGTCAGGATTTTCCACGGTTAAAAATAATGTGAGACCGCAAGCGCGTGGTCTATGATACTCAACTCTTTTTTCTCTGTTTTTTCTGAGTGTGTTTTCTAAAAAAGCTCCAAGTGGGGGCTGCAGCCCCACAAGTTTTTGGATGTATCTTTTTATTTCTTAATTTTGGCGATGGTTATAAAGAGGAACTCATGCACAGTGGCAACTTTTCATGCTTTTTACGGCTAAATATGTCTATGATCTCAATAATATGAAAATCGTAAGTTAATGGGGGGATTTTAGATCCTCCTGAGAGAATAAAAAAACACATTTTTCAGGGGATCATAGTTGTTTCTAAGATTTTACTACGACAATAAGAGAAAAATCATGAGAATTAGCTTAAGCGTTGAATGCACCCTTAATTGGTTTCAAGAATACTGACGTCTCAAGTTAAAGGACATGTCAGGAAGTCCAAGGGGATGGACCAAGTTTTTTTTTTCACTCAGAAGTATCCAATGCCCACTGAAATTCCCCAATAAACTTAGGAGTTTTATATTCTGGCAGCTATACATACAAGTACATGCATGCATATATAAACACATATGTACAGCAATACACATTTTAGAGAGTCGCCATTTTTTATGAGTTTGGGTTCATGACCATCGCCAATTTTAAGAAAAAACTATGATATTTCTGGATTAGGTGGGGATTCGGCCGGTGGGGATTCGGCCGATCGGATTTTTCGTGGGGATTCGGCCGGTTTCTGATTTATTATTCGAAGTATGGAAAGTTTGGCAACAATGCACAGAACAAACATGAATGAAACGTGGTATAAAAGAAATGAGCTATTTAACGTAATATACTTACATATCTGAAAGAGCCTTGCACAAAAAGGGCTAAAATTCGCCCGTTTTCGGGCCCTCGAAATTGGGGTCGGTGTGAGGTATTTTTTCATCTATAGGGTGACCCTTTACACATAATAAAATTTCAGATTGAGTATACGCACCGTTTTTGAGATATGGGGGGGCAAAGTCCCCGATTTTTACTCATATTTGCAGGTATTTTATAGTCGAACTTCGGCTGCTACAAGGTACCGGATGTAGATATTGAAGCGCGGTTTGCGGTGATTTGTCAAGCTATTTCTGGATTATTTTTTCACATCTTTTACAAACCCGCAAATGGTTTTTCGGGGGGGGGGGGGGGAGCTTTATTCATACTATCATGACCGTTCGTATACGTCTTACTGGCATTAATTGCTTCGTTCTCGACTCCTCTCCACGCCGTAATCATGATGGTATTTTCTGTTAGGAATCTTTCTTCTTCTTTATATTTGACCAATTCTAATGTTGTCTCCCCCTTTTTCCCTTTTTAACCCCCCCCCCCCAATTCTAAACACTCCCTCTCAAGTGTATATTCCTGTGCGGCAGATATGAAGGTGTTATTTGTGGGGAATTATTTTCTGTCTTTATGGTTGATAAACTTTGACCCCACCTATTTCCTCCTTCCCCCCTTTACCCCTGTTTCCCCCCCCCCCATTTCCACCGTACCTTACTCGAAGTTGTCTGCTCCCTCTGCAGCAGAAATGAGGATGTTTCCGGTAACTATTACACTATCCGATAACTATTATACTCTCACAAAAAAAAGTATTCAAGCATGTAAAAAAGAGAAAAGAGGGGGGGGGGCAGTGGAAAGAGGGAATAAGGTAGGAAATATGAACTAGTGAGGGGGGATGGGAAAGAGAAAAAAGGGTGGGGGGTGTCTCCCTTGTATTGAGTTTAAAAAAGTAAAAAATTCTTCGCTGGAAACATCCTCATTTCTGCTGCGGAGGGAGCAGACAACTTCGAGTAAGGTACGGTGGAAATTGGGGGGGGGTGAAACAGGGGTAAAGGGGGGAAGGAGGAAATAGGTGGGGTCAAAGTTTATGAACCATAAAGACAGAAAAATAATTCCCCACAAATAACACCTTCATATCTGCCGCACAGGAATATACACTTGAGAGGGAGTGTTTAGAATTGGGGGGGGGGGGAGGTTAAAAAGGGAGAAAGGGGGAGACAACATTAGAATTGGTCAAATATAAAGAAGAAGAAAGATTCCTAACAGAAAATACCATCATGATTACGGCGTGGAGAGGAGTCGAGAACGAAGCAATTAATGCCAGTAAGACGTATACGAACGGTCATGATAACATGAATAAAGCTCCCCCCCCCCCCCGAAAAACCATTTGCGGGTTTGTAAAAGATGTGAAAAAATAATCCAGAAATAGCTTGACAAATCACCGCAAACCGCGCTTCAATATCTACATCCGGTACCTTGTAGCAGCCGAAGTTCGACTATAAAATACCTGCAAATATGAGTAAAAATCGGGGACTTTGCCCCCCCATATCTCAAAAACGGTGCGTATACTCAATCTGAAATTTTATTATGTGTAAAGGGTCACCCTATAGATGAAAAAAAACCTCACACCGACCCCAATTTCGAGGGCCCAAAAACGGGCGAATTTGTGCATGGCTCTTACATTCGCGATTTAGTAAAGATCGAGTGGAATCTTCTTTTAAAGTTTTTAACAACACATGAAAATTAGGTTGTTTCTTGTTAACGAGTTTGTTCAACTGGGAGTTCCAGCCTTCCACCAAATTATTTGTACGGTCACGAACAGAGGAGCAATTCCACATCTCCTTCGGGATGTTTGGATTGTCCAGCCATTGTTCCACAAAATAATCATTAAATTTCAAAATGTTATCGTGTAATGGGCAATCCTCCATAATAATGAACCAGGCATCATCTTGCTCATCAAGGTCAATAAATACCAAAGAGGCACATTTTCTAATATGATCTCTTATGGCAGTATCAGCTTTATATTCAACGCTGAGACCCAATTCCTGAACTTTCCACCAAATTGACTGGTTGAAATGAAAGTTACACCCGTGCAATTTTGCGTCAGGATATAAATTTGACAAAACGGATATGACAGCAATCTCAAAATCTAAACAGAAACTTTCCACGTTGGAAATTTTTCCACATGATAAGAGCATTCCTCTGCTTCGCATTAGTACATTGTTGCCTAACTTTCCACACTCTGGATAATAAATCGGAGACCGGCCGAATCCCCACGAAAAATCCGACCGGCCGAATCCCCACGCGACCATATTTCTGAACACCTGCTTGGACAGAAGCCGCAGTTCCGGCTGGGGGTAAAAACTACACCTAGAAGAAAAAAAAAGAAAAAGAAAAAAAAAGAAAAAGAAAAAAACCAACTATGCAGAGGAAAAACGCCGTACATCCCATAGAACGCAGTCCTGCAGTCTAATAAATTTGATTTCGGGATATCCTGTAGAGAGCTTGAGGCAGCTCATGATTGATGTGCATTGAAGAGAAACAAACCATACGATTTTAAAAGAGATCAAATTACTTGAGTGCTTCTTCAATCGTTTGCCCCAGAAAATATTTCGAAACGTTCATGGTTATTACTGAAAGGTTCAATTCAGAAGCTCATATCAGTGCTTCACCGATTTCCTCTGATTTTCCGCTCAAGGAAACAATTCATTTGACAGAGCTTTTCAAACGACTGAAAGCAGGCTAGATTGGCCTTGTGGCCAGTGCATCTGATTTCAGGTCAATAGGTCCCCGGTTTGAAATCCCGGTGGCGATTGGAATGGCGATTGTCCATGAAACTACTTAAACAGATTCCACTCGGCTTGAATCGCCGAAAATCTGAAAAGCCCAACGCATGGATATGTCCGTTCAGTCGGTGATTCCGTTCAGGAAACAGCGTCTTTAGTTAATTGGAGGCTCCAAAAACCACACAAGAAGAAGAAAAAAATCATACATTTCAAAAAAAAAAATTTAAAAATGAGCAGTATACATTAAATTGTATGAAAAGAATGCGTAAAAATGATTTCGTCAATATAAATGGAGACCTTATCTTCCGGGAGAAAATTTTCTCAATGAATATCGATGGCTAAGGAACAAAAACGCCTACCTGCAAACTGACAATTTTTCAGAACAAAGACAAAACTTCGCCATTTTTTAAATTTTGAGGTTAGATTTGCGATTTTTTATACATCACAGCGTCTTTACATCGCTCCCATGCGAAATTAGAAAAAACTAAAAACATTCTTGCGTATTTAATACTGGATGCGGCAAAATCGGAAAATCATTTCCGCCAAAATTTTCAGGTAGGCGGTATTGCTACTTAGCTTTCGATATCCAGAAATTTGAACTGGTTTTTCACTGACATCGACGTGATTTCTGATTTCAGCTCATCGCTTTCTTCACTGTGATCGCCACAGCGGCGGCGGCCGCTGTCGTGCCCGGCTACCCAGCCCCAGCCCCCGTCGTCAAATACGCCCCCGCAGCTCCCGCCTACGCACCCGCCTACGCCCCACACGCACCCGCCTACGTCGCACACGCACCCGCCTACGCCCCACACGCGCCCGCCTACGCTCCACACGCCGCCCCCGCAGTCCACGTCCCTGTGGCTGGATACGCCAAAGCCCCCGCCTACGATGCCGACTACGACGCTAACCCATCTTACAGCTACGCCTACGATGTCCAGGACGCTGTCACCGGCGACTCAAAATCCCAGCACGAATCTAGACAAGGTAAAAATTATTTTGAGCCAGTGGCGTGGCGTACTTTCCGATAAATTGATCGATCTGCCATTAAACCTATGGAAAAGGATCGATGAACAGAATGTTCGCAACTAACGCTTAATAGTAGATTCTTTACCAAAGCTTTAAATAGGGAGATGTCGATCAACAATCGACCACTCACGCCTCGCCACTGTTTTGAGCCACCATCGGAATGGTTTTCAAACATATACATTTTAAAAATCTATGAAAAAGTCAGACTACAACCACAATTGGACGTATTTCTGCCGAACAGAATTATGTGCATTAAGACATGAGCCCTGAGATCCATAAAAATATGTGCACAACAGGGCTCACGTCATAATGCACATAGTTTTGTTTGATAGAAATACGTCCAATTGGATGCATTTAAATCAGAAGGCGCCATATTCATTTTAACATGTACTCAGACGAATCTCTAGGCTCATGTCCGAATGGATATACTTAGTTTCTTTTGACTTCAATACGTCCATTTGAATGAATGATGCCTAGAGCAAGAAGAAAGTATTTGTCCCATAGACTGGTTTAGTGCATGACTATGACCATTCACTCCATGGAGAATCTAATTTAAAATACCTTACCCCCCCCTGAGAAACTGTTTTCCTTGGCACTTAAGTGTCTAATCTTTAAGTTTTCAATCAAGAATTGGATGAGAGGGAAAGTAATACCCTTGTTTCTCGGCTAAGTTTTCAGGTATTGCTATGGCGTTTCTCGCGAAAAATGACACTTTTTGGTGTTTGATGATTTATTTAGATCCAAGCGCATCTTTGAGGCACTTCTATTTCCCGTTCTCGCTAATGATATTTGAATACGAAGCTGCTTTAAGGACGCGTTTGCACCCAGATAAGTATTGAAGCACGAAATAAACACCGAAAAACTGTCTTTTTCGCCAAGAATGTAAAACTGCCGGTCAACTGAGCTAAAAAACAAGATTACAACTATTTCAAGAATCCGATTTTTTACAAGACGATTACAGATTGAAATTTTAGGTGTTCAAAAAGACACTTTTTGAAGCGTACAAAGTATTTTTAAGTTAGACCTTCGAGGGACCAGAAGACCGCCAACATCAGATAAGTCTTTTAAATTGGCTGTCCCTCACATTTGAAGGGCATTGTTTGCTTTTCTTGTGAACGATATGACATACTGCCGATCACCGAGAGCTGTGTGGACCGTATCAAAACTGCATTATGCTAGAAATTAGGTCAAATTTCAGTTCCAAGGGAGGTTTCAAGAGGTCTTCAAGACAGCATTATAGAAAGGAAAAATTTAACGAACTTTGAGTAAAATTCAATCGTGTAATTTCGGAGTTGATCCTTGAAATGGAAGAGAATGACTAGCCTCCATACAAAATTAAAAATACAAAAGTCTTGTACCTCCCTTAATCACAAATTACATACAGGGTTGCTACCGAATCTAGAAAATGAAATTCCCTGTTTTCCCAGACAAATGTTGGTGAAATTCCCTGGCAATTGAAGATACGCCAGATGGTTAAAAATACATAATTAGAAATAGTTTTTAGGCAAATTTGTTTTTCGAAACGTTAAACCCATTCTAAAAAACCAAAGTGACGAAACAATTTTTCCCTGACATTTTCGCCATTTTCCCTGACATTTCCCGGTATTCCCTGACTATGGCAAACCTGCACATGATGGAAACCAAATGGGGCCTCCTAGGGAAAGGGGCTGTTTAGAGTATGACTATGAATACAACCCTAAGCGGTGACTATGATTACATATCTGACAAGTAATGGGCAATTCAACTGACTGATGAAACTGTATTTTTCTGTTCTCAGGTGACTCCGTTTCCGGAAGCTACAGTTTGACCGAGCCCGACGGCAGCCGCAGGACAGTCGACTACACGGCCGACCCCGTCAACGGCTTCAACGCCGTCGTCCACAAGGACGTCGACGCCCACCCCGTCGCCAAGCCCGCACCCTACGCAGCCCCGGTCGCCGTCGCCCCCAAGGTCGTCGCCCCCGCCCCCTACGCCCCCGCACCGCGCTACGTCGCCCCCTACGCCAGGCCGGCCGCCTACCACGCCCCAGCCCCCGTCGCCTACCACGCACCTGCGCCAGTCGCCTACCATGCGCCTGCACCAGTTGCCTACCATGCACCTGCACCAGTTGCCTACCATGCGCCTGCACCTGTAGCGCCGGTTGCCTACCATGCCCCTGCGCCGGTCGCGTACCACGCGCCCGCACCAGCGTACGCTGCCCCAGTCTATGCTCATCACTAAACTTCTGTTACCTATCTTTAGTTGTATTATTTTTAATGAAGAGGTTACCTGTTTCTATTCTAAGTGCCATTTTAGATAATAAATTATTAATTTATTTAGTTACTATGGGCTTTTATTCTTTCATCTGTTGCTGGTGGGATATGGTATCCAACTCAGCGGAAAAAATTACTTCCAAGAGGACACTCGAGGAAAACAAATCGTTCCTCTTGTGAGCGTATAGCAGATTTCGAGTCCTTCCTACTTGCCTAATGGCAATCACAATGTAACTTAGAAAGTAATACCTATTTTGATCCCTATATCAGTGCTGTACTGTTGTCCAAAGGGTAAAACTGTGATTACCACTGGAAAAGTAGGTAGGGCCTAGAATCTGCTTTGATCATTATAAGAGCAACAAGATCTTTTCTCCGTGACAAGGCACCGAGCACAATCAACTCTGAGAACAATCTAACGTGACTGTTTTAAAGTAGGTCACTATCAGAAAAGTGAGGGCGCCAAGAACCCACATTCACGACATTGTGTCATGATTAAATTTCATAAAATACAGTTTCATCAAGACTTTTGGTGAATGCTTTGGAACAAAACGTGCGTTTTTTGAAAAATTTAGAAAGTCAAGATACTACCATACCTGAAAAGCAATCCTTTTCGCAAATCTGTTTCGCACTTTCAATCATTTTAAAGGATTTACTTCATCCATAATAGATAAAAGGCAAAACCAAATGCTTCATACTGATTGAAATAATAAACGAGAAATTTTGGTGACAATTTACGAGATTATTTTTTCAATTGAGTGTGGGTAAATTTCTCTCTAGCCAAGGCTTGTTATACGCAACTAGCAACAATTTCCCTACATACATGGTTTTGAAAATAATTCGAAACACGAAGTGCGCAAACTGTGCGTTACTAGTTGTATTTTAGAAGTTTATAAATGACTCTTCAACGCGATTTTCGTGCATGATCATGTAATTAAAGCTAGCTCTATCTCGTATGTGCAACAAACCTCTGTCCTCGCGGAAAAGAGAATTAGGAGAAAAGTTATTTTATGAGTTGAAATAGACGAAACAATAACATACGTTGATTTTTCCAATAATTTGACAAGCTGAAAGCTAGAAAACCTTGACTTAATAGGCTTAAGTCAATTTATGAAAACCATTTCTCTTTTGCCCCTATCAATACGTTACCAACCCTACTATTCCATGCTATCATTATCTAAAATACACAAACCGAGAATATACAGCAAGGTCCGTTAGTTTTAGTCTGTAATAACAACAATATTTGAAACAACACATCAAAAATAGGGGGCATGTCCTCGATGATGCTACATTAATTTGTTTTAAAAGCTGGAAAACCTATACGGTGATCTTTAAGGTTGTCAATTTTATCCTCCTAAACATGATATAATAATGCTACAATCGAAGGTCCGAGGAACAACAACAATTAAATCTATGTCCGAGAGCAATAACTGATATAAACTCGGTGAAAAATAAACGGATCATTGGAAATTTCATTGGCTGTACTTCTATGGATGTGAACTATGGATGTTTCTGTACAACAAAGTTCCAGTGGGCCGTTGCAATGCTGTGTCGCCATATGAAGGTTCCTTAATTACAGTTTAATGTGTGTCAAAAGAATGAGTAAAGAAGTAAAATGAAAAACGATGAAATAAAAGTGCACTGGATTATTAGGGATGAATATTTCCCTTTTCATACCTGTTTAATAGGCGTATTGCCTTTTTTTCTCCTAGCGTTTTTAAACGAATTTTTTGGCATCCCCTATCAAAGAAATCTATATTTTTAAGCTTCTGAAAAAATTTAACTGCTGAGACACAAAAATTTGCCTCACTTACAAATGAATCAATTCCATGCAATTGGAGAATAAAACAATTTTATACGCTCATGAATGACTGATTTTAGTTTTCGGTCAGAAGAAAGAAATTAGTGGAATTAGTGTAAGACATTAAATTGACCATTTGACGTGATTAATGACGGAGGGGTTCCCTGAATTACACACTAAGCGATTGATACTTCTTAGCTTACGCCTAAAAGGTGGGTAGCAAGCAGGAACGTATGTGCTATAAAAGTTGCAGCATTCACATTTGAAGGAGATTTTTACTTCTCTAAGTTTCATGGAACGCGTTGAAGCACATATAACAAGCGCATTGTACTTTGCCAGCCCCGCGTAAATTCAAGTTGATAGAGATCTCAACGAAAAAATGCACACATTCAGAGCTAGAATTCTAGATGTAAGCGGAGTTCCAGAGCAAAAATTACACCCTGATTTTGAGTGCTGTAATGTAATCTCGAAGTTCATCACTTTGCCAGACTCTGACACAGCGCAGCGTGCTTAATTTTTGACTCAGGGAATGGAAACTCCTGATATACTGTCAAGTTTTTACGTTATTTATTTATTCATATACTTGTTTAATTCGTTAATTTGAAGCGAGATTATCTATCTTTTGGTGTAAAATTATGATGTGTTCAGAAACATTTCCTCCCCGGATGCTAATACAAACAAGGGACGAAAAGGCTCACCAGTCGAGATGCAATCGTGGCAAAGATGTAGTCAGAATTTTATACCTGCAACCAAAACAAAATAAATTGAATTAGAGATATTTACAGAAAAAATGTAAATCAAGCGTTCTGCTGAGCAGCCGTTGCTAATTTAATAAATATAGAAACATAATGAGACGAGCGCGGAATTCGTGCTATCTACGGGGTGACAATGAACCCTCATAATGGCTTTGCCCGCAGAGAAAATATAGAGGGTGGAAGGAGACAGCCACCTTTAGACTCAGTTGTGACGCAGATATGTAAATCAGCCAATCGGTCACTGAGAATAAGGTTCAAAGAAGGAGTAGACTTTGCTTCACATCTTAATGTGACCCAAAGTTACGATTTTCATTAGATTTTCGTTAGTTCGTTGTGACGTAGAAACGTACGTTCCTCCGCTCGTCATCTCCTGCTCCATCATTACTGTGAGCTTTCTAACCTATTATACTTTCATTTTTTGTCACAGTTTGTTCTACCATTCTACTG